GCAGAGGCCAAACAGAGGGCCTTGAATGCTGGGCCTAGGAGCTGAGGATTAGGCAGTAGAGAGCTGCTGGAGGGTTTAAGCAGGCATGACAGGGTGGGATTGGTAATTCTAGGAAACATTCCTCTGGCTTCTTAGGGTCAGAAGATTTTTCTTACTTCATTGCTTCCTAGCTCTGTGGCCTTGAGCAAGTAACTCTACCTCTCTGATTCCCAGTCTCCTCATCCTTCAAATGAGAATGGTAATTCCTGTCTCATTGACCTGTTGTGAATGTTAAATAGGATAATGGGTTACATGTGCTAATAAAATGAGAAGAGGTTTAGTCTGGATCATGGTACAGACGTTTGTTGGATTTCACCGATAATAGAAGGCAGAGCCAGCATCTACTATGGTCCTAAACCTGATTTCACCACCTGGTAAAGCCCTAAGTACCCTGCAAGCTTGGACTGATTGACACCGTCTCCAAGCAGAGGGAAGCTTTCTTCCCAGGACATTTTACTCATCTAGTCTATTCCCTTCACATGGCCAGGTCCCACACAAGAGTAGAGCTGGACAGTCAGGCTGGGAGATGGCCACACACCGCAAAATGTATCATATTTTGACAGGCAGCCCAGGGGCCACAGGAGCCTAGGGGGAGGGTGAGACCTTTTACCGTATGAGGGTCAAGTTAGACTGGGAAGACCTCACAGAGGAGGTGGCTTTTGAATCAAATGAGTGAGAGTTTGCATAGAAGACAGAGAGCGTTTTTGTCATCTTCATCAGAGGGAACAGCCTGTGCAAAGGCTGAGGAGTGAGACAGGCCTCTAGACTGGCAAGCTCCCTCTGCAGGATGGGTTTTAAACTGGGATCAGTGGTGGGGTCCTGGTCTTCTGTTGGGATTCTGCTCTGGTGCCCAGTAAAGCTGGCAGTTGGAGGCAAGGGGCCAGGAACAAGGCTGTTGCAGTAATCCAGGCCAGGAGGCCTCCTGAAACTGACCTGGGCAGGATTGGGGGTGAGGGAGGGGAAAGACAGTGACCCACCCACCCAAAGGCAGCTGCCAAATCTCACTCTGCCCTCCTTCTGTCACTGGTGACATGGCTGCTTCAGTCCACTTTGGCCCCTGTGACCTTTCCAGATCCTTTTACCAACTCCCTGGTGGAGCCTGGTCAGCACCACCCTGGGTGGTGCACTGGGAGCGAATCCAAGGAAGAATCCATATTAGAGTCTTATCTATCCTCTGCCCCTGCCTTGCCTTTGGATCTACTGGTGTCGCAGCTCCTTTTTCTTACTTGGCCTTTGAAATCACCCAGTAGAGGGCAGGAACCCACATGCAGTGAGCACTAGGGTGTACCAGGCCTGGGCCTGAGTCTTCACTTTACCTCATGTAATCACCCCAGTGGCCCGCAGGAGCAGTACGTGGTTTCTCACCCTGTTACTGATGAAGACTCGGACTCAGAGGGGAGAGGGCACACGCAGGCCTCCTTGCAGGTGAGGCGCCGTGGGGCTGGAGCCGGTGTGCCTGACTGTCCCATACTGCCTGCCCGTGTCCACACATGCTGCCTCAGACCAAAGGGAACTGGAAAAGCTTCAGGAAAGAGAACATAGCTTTGGAAACCCTGTCCATTCCCATTGATTAACCTCCCTGGGCAGGGTTGCTGCACCTCCAGGGCCACCTGCACCAGGGGTGATGTCATGGAGGAGGCCAGGCCCTGGGTGTCAGAACACCTGGATCCTGAGGCCAGCCTCTGTCCTCACTGGCTGTGTGACTCTGGACAAATCACGGAGCCTCTCTGGGTCTCTTTATGCAGCTGTAAAATAGATACAGTGTCATCTAACCCGCTGATCTTGCAAGGTGACTGGACAGATAAGAGTTGCAGAGGCACCAGGAAGGTTGAGAGGTGTCCTTTGGCAAGGTGGTCATATTCTAAATGCCTGCTGTATCTTCCTGTGGTACCTGTTCTGCGCCAGGCCCGGTGCTCAGCTCCAAGGACATAAAAAGTGAATCTAACCCCATCCCTGCCCACAGGGAGACAGACAGGTAAACATAGTTATGGTCCAGCATGGTCAGCTCCAGCTGTCCTCCACACGTGCTCATTTGTAAGTTGAGGCAGTGATATAAGGAGCATTGGATTTGGGGCTCAGACTCCTGAGTTTAGACCTGGTTCCTCCCTTACCCAGCTGAATAGCGTCAGTCTCTTTGTCTGCAAAACAGGGACAGTAATCCCCGCGGTCGAGGACTGTGACGCAGAAGTGAGTTGCTGGTGTAGAAGTGCGTGGCGAGCGGGCGTGTTTGTACAGATGTGTGGCTTTAGCGCTTGTGTTGGAAGAGCCAGCCCTCAAGGCTCTGGGAGTTTGGCCCTGACATTCTTTTGGCCTTGTGTCTCCAGAACTGACTCAGTGGTCAGGGGCCAGGATGTTAATGGAATTTCCACCTGGGGATTTTGTCGGCGTCAGCTCAAGTGAGCTCATGGCGAACATAAGCAGGGTGGGAGGCCGCTCAGCATTGAACAGCCAGTGGAGACAAAGCCCTTCTCAGGTGGGTACTCGGCCCCTTGCCCACCTCGTTCCTATGCCAGGGGTTCCCTCTTGAAGTTGTGCCAAATATCTCGGCCAGAGATGCTGGGGTGCAGCACCATGGGCAGGCAGCTGGGGCCAGGAGGACCAGAGCTGGAACCCTTGACCCCAGAGAGGTCTCCCCAGAGAAGGAGGGAGACTGGGTCTTTGCCAAGAGACACCACAGTGACCAGAGAATGTCAGCACAAGCAGTCACAGACCTGCCAGGTGCCTTTGGTGGGGAGGAACAGAACGAAGAATAACACAGTCATTGCCTCCAGGAAGCTTAGTAAATCATCACCATCATCTCCTGTGCATTCAGCACTTCGCAGGTGGCAGTTGTTGAGCTGAACGTTTCACATTCACCCCGAGGCCAGCAGGTACAGAGCTGGATTCACAGCCGGTCTGAGTCCTGAGGTTGACTCTCAACTTCTGGACTCATCATTCGTCCAACATGTTTGCCGTGCCTGCCAGGCCTGGCTCTGGCCCCAGTTAGGGGAGAAGATGAACAGGTGAAGATGGCAGGGTCACTGTCCCAAGCTGCTCACACTTCAAGTCAGGAAATGGGCAGGTAAATAACGACAGAGAATTTACTCGGTGTGCATCTGAAGGAGGCGTGCCAGTAGTGTGGTGTGAGAGGCCTGGGGAGCAAGGAAGGGAGGTGGCCTGGGAGCCTGAGTGGACAGAACGGGCTTTGTTCCACTGGCGGGGCCAGGGCAGGCCTGGTGGATGCAGATGCGGTGGTCCTGGCAGTTGTGGGAGGCATCAGAACTCAGGTCCTGGGCCTGCTCCACTGTTTCCTTGCCATCATCACCCCGCTCTGGGCCTCGGTTACCCATGATCTCTGAGGGGCCTTCAGCTCCCTAGCCCTGGAATTCTCTGCGTTTGGGGAACTCTGAGCAGGGGCTGAGAGTCATTCAGAGGCTGTCGCCATAGGTTCAAATCAAGACGGGGAGTTCAGCTGGAGGAGGGAGGAAGGTAGGGACAATGTGCACATACCTCTATGCCAGGGAGAACTTGGTTTCTGTAGGTAAAAGTAGAAGTCAGGAGGTTTTTGAGAGGGGAGTGATGTAGCCAAAGCTGTTTTAGAGGCTCTCCGTGTGAGGTATGCAGTATCGCAGTGCAGAGACCTGTGTGGGGCCTGTTGGAGCCACACCACTGACTCTTTGGACTTCACGGGCCATCAGCAAACTTTCCTTAGAGTTGCAGTGGGCCCAGAAAGAAATAGCTCATGGCCCCACCTAGAGGCCCTTATGCTATGTCCCCCAAACCAAGGATGGGTACAGTTACTAAGCCCTTGTCCTGCTGCCCTTGTGTTTTGTAACCTCGCTGATAATAGATGTCTTTTCTCTGCAGGTTGGGGTTTAGAAAATAAGTGATGTATCTTGGGCCACAGATCCTCCCTTGGCCTTCAGTGGTGACTACCTGTCTGCCTTTCCTTTTCTCCTGAGGATAGATCACAGGTCCCAGAGAGAGGGAGGCAGAGTCAATACCACACAGATAAGAAAACCAACTCTCCAAGAAAGAAAGCTGTAAAGGTTACACAGTTAGTAGCAGACCTGAGACTAGAGTCCTGGTCTCCTGGGTCCAAGGCAGGTGCTCATGGTCTTGTTAGGAGTTGGTTCCCTGTCCCCATTGCTGATCTGTAAGCCCCATGAGGACAGTGCCTCCCCGACATACACTCACGGGGCCTAGCACACTGCCTTGCACTTAGTAGAGGTCTAGTGCTATCGCTGATTAATTCAGTCTGCAGTGGATGTGGGTATAGGTAGAATGAAGAGGCACAGTTTTTCCATTATCTGGCTTCCACCCCTTGAGGCCTCATTTCCCTATAGAAGTATTCATCTTCTCAATCTCATGTTCACAGTCATCCTCTCTAAGGCTGATGGGGCCATCATTACCATCCCAGATTCACAGCTGAAGGAACTGGTCCAGAGAGGTAAAGTGACTTGTGCGGTTCACGCTGCAAGTTGGTGTCCAAGGCCTCTGGCTTTCTGTGAAGACCTTTCCTCTCCATGGAGCTGAGGCTAGTGGTTTTTGTCAAGAGGGACTCACATTGCTCATCCTTTCTCCGATCCAGCAGCCCTGTTGAGAAACAACATAGTGTGGCTTCCCTGGATAGCACTGCTTTCCAGGAGGGCGCTGGTAGGAGCTGTCTCATGTTTGATACATGTTGGCTGGAGGAAGGAGGAAGAGAGATGGGGTCAGGCCCACCCACTGATTCCCCACCCACTCCCTCCCATCCATGGAGGAAGGCGAGGTAGCCCACACTGCACCTTCCCTTCCACCATTGTGTTTCCTCTTCATTACAGGCCTGTGAGATGGCGATTACATCTCTCTTTAGGGAGGTGTATAGCTCAGTGGTAGAGCATGTGCCTAACAAGCACAAGGTCCTGGGTTCAATCCCCAGTACCTCCATTAAGAAAGAAACAAAACAAAAAGCCCAAAATGTACAGATGAGGAGACCGAGACTCAGAGATGGTGGCTAGCCAGACCGGAGAAAGCAGACGTGGCCATGAGGCAGTCGTGTTAGGAGACTTTGTTACTCTGTGTGTTTTATGTGTAAAAACTTACTATAAGAAGGGAAATAAGGGCCAGAAAGGAGATTAAGACATGTTTGAATCATTCGACGTTCTGCCTTCTAAAGAAAGACCACTATTGGGTTGACATATTTTCTTCTAGACTTTTCTAAAATTAGGATTTAGGTGTTTTGTTTTTTTTAATGCACAGTTATAATTTTCCAACATGCAATTTACCCTTATGATCCCTAGCATTATGGCATCAGCCTCTTCCATGAGATTGCAGACTCTTCTGAGCATTCTATTTTTGACTCCACAAGATCCCTAGGAGACTTCCACAGCCATCTCAAGTGGGCTGGGAAGCCCGAGGCCTGAGTCAGGAGACCAGAGCCTGAGCGCCACCTGCCACCGCCTCCCCAGGGCTCCACGGACAAGTCACTGCACACTCTCTGGGCCGCAGCTTCCTCGTCACTAAAGTGAGGGATTGCACACCCTGCTCTGCAGGCCTCGCAGCTCAGATGAGCAAAAGTCTCTTGGAAACTGTCAAGGGCTGCACCCCAGCAGGAGTTTTCTTTCTCTTCCCTCAGTCTCTTCCTGGGAAAGTTGTGCTCTCCCCTTGGCTCTTTTTGCTAAGAGGCTTGGAGCCAGAGTGCCAGACCCCAGCGTCTCTGAGACACACATGTGAAGGCACCCCACCTTACATTACCCCAAAGGGGATGTTTCCTCTGAGCAGAACAGGGGCACTGACCATCAGAGACCTCCAGCCCGCACCTCTGCCTATGCCCCCTTCTGGGTCCAAAGTTGTGAGGCCGCTCTGGGATTTCTCCCTTCTCTTCTCCCAGCCGTTTGTGATGCCCCTGAGAGGTCCCTGGGCTCCACTGCGACCTCAGGAAAGCCCCAGAGACATTGAGTATGAGAAAGCTTGGCACCTCCCTCGTTACAGCCGTCAGCGGCAACCGGAGCGTGGCCCTGGGCCTATGGACACCTAGCTCTCGTTTTCCCAGCAATACACCGATGTACATGTTCCATGTGAACCAAGCCAATGACGAGGTTATGAAGGCCTGAGTTCGCTTCCTGCCTCTGCCACCTTCCTTTCTCATCCTCAGTTTCCCCCACTCTAACGTGGACAGTGGACTGCTGACCTCCTGGAGTGACTGAGGATTGCATGAGGGAACACGTGTCTAGCCCTAGCACATAGTGAGGACTGGTTCTGTCACCGTCAGCACTCTCCACTCCATGTCCAGGCCTGGCCCAGAGCCGGGGCCCAGGGAGAGGGGTCCACTGTGCAGGGCTGAGCAAGATGCCCTGGGAGGATTCACAAGCACAGTTTTTCAGGGGGGTCGCGATCTACGCTTCTGCTGCCCAGGTATCAGCTGTCACCAGCATTGCCGCTTTGGCTTGGCGATGACCACCCAGCATGTGTACACAGTTCTTCACAGTTTGCATTGCACTTGATTGAGTGTTGCATCAACTTATATGAGGAGGGGAGGGCAGGAGTTATAGTGGACGAAGCTGAGGCCTGGATGGGGGCAGCGAGAGGCCCCTCTCTGGAGGGCGAGGGGAAGCGTTGGGCCCTGTAGGGGCTGCCGGTTACATAAGCAGGAGCTCGGGAGAGGGGCCCTTCAGCACTTAAGAGACACATTGTATAATCACCTTTGGGAACCAGAGGGTAATCTTGGGGCCTTTTTGTGTGTGTGGTGTTTGTTTAAACACCAGGAAAGGAGGGTATGAGCAGATCGGCTTAACAGGGAAGGTGAGGCCCTGAGTGGTAATGAACCCCTGCAGTGAAAAGCTCACCCTGGGAACAAAAGGGCATGAAGCAACTTAATATTTTTCTTTTAGTTCCAGACATTGGAACACTCTGTCCTGCCTCAATTGGGACCAAGCCCAGGATGCACCTGGGCCGGGTTTAATCCTCAAATTGGATGGTACAAAAGAAGGGGTGGAGAAGAGGGGCGCACATAGTGGGGTGGAGCCCGGGGAGTGGGGGAACAGCCCCACTTCCCCTGCCCCCGCTCAGAGCCAGAGGGCAGATCAAGTGGCTGCCCCTTTAAAGTTTCATGTGGGGCTGGTAATACTATCCTGCTGCTCCCTCCACACACCCCCAAGCCCGGAAGGTGGGCAGGTCCCTGGTCCACCCCTCCCTGAAGGCCAGTGACAGGAAGAGAGGACAGTGGGACAGAGCAGCTAAAGAACTTGCCGGAGTGAAGCTTGGTGCCTTCTATCTCCTGAGTGGAGTGGCTGCTGTGTGGCCGGAGCGGTGTGTGACCACAGACCTGTCCACTTAGAAGCTTTCACTGTTCAACCCTCTCATCCTCCTACGAGCACCACTGTCCAGGGAGCTACAGTGCACAGGCTTTGGGGCAGACAGACATGCGTCAGTATGGGGACTGAATGTGACAGCGTACACATAGTGCCTGGGATGATAGCAGCTACTGTGATAATTGTCCGGGGAGGGAAACTGAAGCCAGCGGAGGGGAAGTGGCTTGCATAGCACACGTCAGTGGGAAGAGCCCCTTTTGGACCCCATCTCCTCCTAGTCCTGCTGGAGGCAATAAATGAAAATAGAGGTATTGGAACTGAGTGGCCCTGGGTTCTAGTCCTGCCCTGCTTTTTACTGGTTTCGGGTAAATCCCTTTTCCTCTCTGAACCTCTGTTTCTTCATCTGTATAATGGGGGAAACAGCCCAGCTGCCTGCCCTGAGTTAAAGGAAAGGCCAAAGAGGTGTAATAGCTCTAAGAGCTGGGGGCGGGGGCAGGGCACAGGGGAAGGGGCTTGGCACAGGTGTACCCAGAGCGCATCTGGAAGTCTAGACACAGGGTCCCCTGTTGGAATGCGGGATCCTGCCTCTGGAGGCCAGACTAGGTAAGGGGGCTTAGGACTGTGGACCCAGCCATTGTTACCCACAAAAGGAGTGAGGTGGGGGCAGTCATTGCAGGTCCCCCTCCTCCCCTTGCCGAGAGGGGCCTCCGTCTGAGAAGCTGGAATGCGGGTCTGGACATGGCTCAGCACTGCCAGACAGCGGCAGTGAGCCCTGCTTCCTCTGTACTACATCGGGTGCTGCTCCCCCTTATGTGTGGCCGTACAGGACTTCTGAGCCTAAGTCTCAGTTCCCTCTTCATGAAGTGGTGACAGAAGTTGCTGCCTTGCGATTTTCGTGGTTGTTAGGGTTAAGTAAGCCTGTGCAGGGAGGCAGCTAGCACAGCACCCAGCACATAGCACGTGCCCGGCAGAGATGAATGGAACACCCTGACCCCTAAACTGTGAGCCTCTCCCCGGTAGGACCTGGGTCAGGACCAGCCCATGGACCCTAGACCATCAGAGCTGGAGAGGCCAGCCAAAGACCCATCTTGTCCAGTGCATTTCCAACTGGATTCCTTAACAACCTACAGCAGGGGCGGTGAGCAGGCATGGAAGGCTCCAGGCCTCCACCCTTACTTCAGCCAGAACAGACCCGCTTTCATCTGCAATCTTTAGAAAGTTCTGCTGCTCCTAGTTTAAAATCCAATCATCTGGCCTAACCATCTTTACCATACGGATAGGGAGACTGAGGCCAGAGAGGATCAGGGACTAGGAATTCTACAAGGAGGAGTATTGAGGGAAAGCATCTGGGTGGCACTGAGGGACTGGTGACAACTTGCAGATACATCAGCTGGTGTCTTATGGGGAGGGTGGGAGCCCTCTGGTACCTGCTGCCAGCCCTCACCTGCGGCTCTCTTCCTAGCCCCCACCATGCCGTGGCCCCTGCTGCTGCCGCCCCTGCTGCTGTTGCTGGCCACGAGCGGGGCCCAGACCACCCGGCCCTGCTTCCCCGGATGCCAGTGCGAGGTGGAGACCTTTGGCCTCTTCGACAGCTTCAGCTTGACACGGGTGGATTGCAGCGGCCTGGGCCCCCACATTGTGCCCGTGCCCATCCCCCTGGACACAGCCCACCTGGACCTGTCCTCCAACCGGCTGGAGACTGTGAATGAGTCTGTGTTGGCGGGGCCAGGCTACACCACGCTGGCTGGCCTGGACCTCAGCCACAACCTGCTCACCAGCATCTCACCCACAGCCTTCTCCCGCCTTCGCTACTTGGAGTCACTCGACCTCAGCCACAATGGCCTGGCAGCCCTGCTGGCCGAGATCTTCACCAGCTCACCCCTGAGTGACGTGAACCTAAGCCACAACCGGCTCCGTGAGGTCTCTGTGTCCGCCTTCACCACGCATAGCCAAGGCAGGGCACTGCACGTGGACCTCTCCCACAACCTCCTCCACCGCCTGGTGCCCCCGACCTCGCGGGCCAGCCCACCTGCACCCACCATTCAGAGCCTGAACTTGGCCTGGAACCGTCTCCGCACTGTGCCAGACCTCCGGGACTTGCCCCTGCGCTACCTGAGCCTGGACGGGAACCCGCTGGTGGCCATCGGCCCCAGGGCCTTTGAGGGGCTGGCCGGCCTTACACACCTGTCACTGGGCAGCCTGCAGGGTCTCCCCCAGCTGGCGCCCTATGGCTTCCGTGAGCTGCAGGGCCTGCAGGTCCTGGACTTGTCTGGCAACCCCAAGCTCAAGTGGGCAGGAGCTGAGGTGTTCTCAGGCCTGGGCTCCCTGCAGGAGCTGGACCTGTCGGGCACAGGCCTGGTGCCCCCGCCCGAGAAGCTGCTCCTCCACCTCCCAGCGCTGCAGAGCATCAGCGTGGGCCAGGGCGTGTGGTGCCGGCGCCTAGTGCGGGAGGGCACCTACCCCCGACATCCCGGCTCCACCCCCAAGGTGGCCCTGTACTGCGTAGACACCCAGGAATCGGCTGGCGGGGGCCCCGATACCTTGTGACGAATGGTGTGGCCCGGGGCCACATAACAGACTGCACCCTGGGCTTCCTCAGGTCCGGGGTAATTTATACTTTAATGTGCCAATGCCAGGGGACTCTGCAGGCCTGTGTGGCAGCGTCATTGCAAGAGAGGCTTTGGACCTGGGACCCACACCCAAAAGCAAAGTCTTGCCCCTTTGTCTATGTTGCTCCCCAGACCATAAGCTGAGGGTCTTCGATGCCAAACCAGACAGCAGTCCCCTGCTGTCCTTCCCAACTTGTCCCCGAAGTGCCTTCCCTGAGGCCTGGACCAACCTGACCCATGCAGGAGGAGGATGGAAGGGAGGTAGTGTTGCAGGACAGAGGTCAGGTCCAGCCACTCAGGGCCGTGGGGTTCTTTTATGACTTAGGCCTCTCTTTGCTCTCAGCATGTGAGGCCTACTTCATCCTCCCCACCTACCCCACCCCCACCCCCAGAATTCTGGGTAGAACTTTGATTATAGAAGGACTGGAGAAAAAAAAATCAAGTCCACCTCCTCATTTGATAGATGGGAAACTGAGGCCCAGAGAAGGAAAAATGCTAATCTGAGGTACTATGGGGCAGAGGCTTGACTGGGCCAGTGGCCTGCCTCCCAGCAGGGCCCCTTTGCACTTTTCTGTCTTCTCTAAATCCTACTCTCCCCATCCCCTTTCTGGGTTCCCTCTTGCTTCCAAGAACCATATCCTGCCATTTGTGCCCTTTCCCTGTCATCCCCAGAAGAATAGGCAAGGGCCTTGGAGGTGGGACTCCGGGTCTGGTAACCAGCTGTGCAGCACAGGCTAAGTCAGTTTCACCTTGGAGCCTCTGGAAGCTTCAGGCATGCCAGTCCCAGCCCTGCCAGTTTCCCACTCTGGGGTGGGGTCCTCCAGCATCAAGACTGGAAATTTGCCTGTTGACCCCAGAGGTACCTCCTCTGGCCCATACCCCAAGGAGATGATGCAGTCCTGGAGCCTAGCCAGGCCCTGAGCTCCAGGGGCCTCCTGGATTCAGCTCCCACTGGCCCTGAGCCCAGCAGCCCATTCCACCCTACTGAGAATGAAGCAAACGAGGCAGGGTAGCCCCCACCCATGTTTATGCTCCCCTACCAGGGTGGCATCTCAGCTCCTAGGCCCAGGCTCTTTCTTTTATGTCAGTTTTATAAAAGTTATCTTTTTAATGGACTGTCACCTTCAACCACCCTCTCTTCTGGGCCCCTGCTGGCAGGGGATGGAAACATGTCATTTGTAAAAGCAGAAAAACATTGCATTTGTTCACTTTGCAATGCATTGACACATTGCATTTGTAATATTGTGTCCTGGTGGGGTGTGTTGGGGGAGGAGGCATGGGTGGAAGCCAGCCATATGTGGCCATGTGGGGCGCTAGGGGGCGGGCCCCACAGGACACCCACAGGACAATGAGAGCTCTGTCTTCCCCCTCCAGCCCCACCCAACACCTGGTCCTTGGTGTAATAAACACTATAAAGAGTCCCTCTTTCCATCATTTGACCAGCATCCACTGACATTCCCTAGACTGGGCCCTGGGGCCACAAGGATGAATTGGGACCAGCTTGTTCTCTGAAAAGTCCAGTAACCTCCCAGGATTGGGTGAGTAAAAGTGACGTGAGGAAGGGAGTTGTTTGGGGTGGATTTCACCTTTCACTGGAGCTTACACTCTTTCTGCCTTCCTTATCTCCCCTCTCCCTGCCACACCAACCCCACGAACATGTCAGGCCCTTGCACACCTCTGCTTTGCTCAGGCTGCTAGTATGGGACCTGGCCCTTGCCCCCATCCCTGCCTCTCATCTCCTTCCCACCCTAATAGACCCAGTTGCTACCTCACCTCCTTAGCAGCTTTCCCTGAGGTCCTCCACCTCCCTCCTCTTAAGCTCCAATAGTACTTTGTTCCTTCTTGGCATTTCAACTGCTGTGGGACCCTAACTCCTTTTTACACACTTCTGGTGACAGGGGATCCAATTCTGGCTCTGCTGTCAGGAAGTTCTTACTCCTAACTGGCCAAGATCTGCAGGGATATCCATCACCACCACCAACAGGTTTTTTCCTGCTGTCTACTCTGTGCCCTGGGACTCATGTTCCTGGGGTGGGAGAGGGGAGGACACCTAACTATAAGAGCAGCACAGGGAGCTGTGAGAGCCCTGTGGTGGGGTTAGGAAGGCTTCCTGGAGGAGGCTCAGCCACAGCAATGACAGGGACAAGTGGGCCTGGACAAAGGGGCTGGCACTTGGGAGAGGTCCTGGGTAAGCAGTGGTACAGAGCCCAAGAACATTCAGGCCTTGGCTATGGTTGGGGTACTTCCCCATCATGTGACTTAGGCCCCCCCGGGCTTGGGCTCCCTGAGCCAGAGACTGAGCCCCGTCAATATGGGAAGAGATCTGAAGCGTGGGGAGAGAGGGAGGGTCAAGGTGAGAACGCAGCCCTCACAGCTCTTGAATTGGTTCTCCACCCCTCCCACTTGGGACAAGTGAGACCTCAAATGCAGGGTCCGGGAGAGATCCCTGGGACTTTAACCTAGTGGGGCTGGGCCCTCCCAAAGGCCTGCTTGAAGAAGGCGTCTTTTGGGTAGGGCCATGGAACATAGGAATCTTAAACTAAGTGCTGAAGGGGAAGGGCACCCTGGTCTCCTTCAGGTCACCTCCACCCTGAGCTGCAGCTTTCACATCCTGCAAGCCGACGTAGGGGTGAAACTCCAGTGGAAGGATGAGCAGACGCCTCCACACCATGCGGGCTCCTTCTTCCTGATGCGGCCATCACCACAACCCCCGAATGCTGGTGGAAAGGAGAATCCCGCGGGGCAACCGGCCTCGCTGATTCCGGCGTCCCAACGGCTCCTCCGGAGGCTCCCGGCGCGCAGCGCCACCTGGTGGTCAGCATGTCCAGACACCCCCCCAGGTCTGAGGGCCAAGGAGACACCCAAGGCCCAAGGCCGCTGGAGGCCAACGTGGACCTGCGCAGCTGGCACAGCCAGTCTCTCCTTCCCCTCGCGGACCGCCTTCATCCACACTCCGCCCTCCTGGAACCCTGGGGCCGAGGATGAGGTCATTGGAATTTTACAGAACTATAGACATGAGTGCAAAGTTTCCGTTTTGGAGTTTCCGAAGAGGGTTAAAATCCTGGGTCCATCAGGAACCAGTTGCATGACTTTAACCAAGTCACTTTCTCTGGGCCTGGAAAATGGGGATGAAAATATTTCCCTGCACAGGGTTGTATGAAGAGTAAAGGAAGGAACATCTGTAAAGAATCAAGTACAGTGCCAGGCACAAAATAGACACTCCATAAATGCTTGTTTCCGCCCTCATTCGACCATAGAATTATGAATTAGATTACAGAGCCATGTGGTCTTAGACTCATATTTTGATAACTGACTCAGAACTGAAGAATGTCGTGAAGGTTTAGGATGGTAGAGCTACAGAATAACAGTGTCATCCGCAGGATCTTGGCTCTGTGTACCTTATCACAGGACAGACCTTCAGTGCGCACGTCAGCCTGTCACGGACTGGCTTTTCAGTGCGGATGTCAGTTGCGTTTTATTGGTGGGGAAACAACTAAGGCACAGTTTGCGGTCACGGTCCAGGCTGGGTCACAAACGTTTCACTGCACTTCATTCACAATTCAGTTGCCATTACTGGACACCTGTTCCTTGGACTGGGTATTCATGCTGTCATTTCCTCCCCACAACAACTGCCCTTGGTGTTACGGTCACCGTACAGATGAAGGCAGCCTGAGCCTGACTTCATCTGTCAGATGACTAGTCTCATTCTTGCCTGTCCAACCTCAGTGGCCAGGCCAGCTGTGGCAGATCCCACGTGTCAGAGAGGGTAGAGGTGCTCTGAGAAATCCAAAACCACTAGGATCCCATTAATTGTTCTGTCGGGAGGGGAAAAAAAAGCTGGGAAAGTTATGCTGCTCTAAGCATCTCCCATCAGATCCATGGGTTCTAGATCCTAGAACATGAAAAGCCAAAGATAAAAGCCTTCCCCTCCTGGCCCCATTTCACAGATGGGAAGACGAGGCCCAGAGAGGCGCAGCCCAAAGTCATAGGGCAGGTGACATGGCCACAAGTCCACGATTCTGTGCTTCAGAACTGGCTACATAATCAGTGGGACCCAGTGCAAAATGAAAATGTGAGGTCTCTTGTTCAAAATTGTTAAGAATGTCAACATGGTAAGAGCAGAACCTTAAACCAAGCACGAGGCCCTTCTAGGGTCCCACTGCTGTGCAGCCAGCCCTGCTGTGCTTTAATCATACAATTTACAGAGAAGGAAAGGGCAAAACACCCCATGCTGGTCAGGATGGCAAAAGAGAGTCTCTGTGGATTTGTGTGAAACCCCATCCCTCTAGCCCAGGAAGCTGATTAGATTCAAACCCAGGAATTTCCCTCCATGGGTGTTATCACACCACCCTCTGATTTCCCCAAATTGTCACAGCCAAAAGGTTTTCGAGAGAGAGAGCAGATATCAATGGAGACACCAGCACCCACCAACTGCCTCCAAACCAGCCATGGGATGTCTCTCTGTACAAGACTACTGTAGGCAGTCTACCTTCTGCTCATCCCTAATGTCCACCAAGACAGAGGTCCTCATAGGCTCACAGGGCCTTGTGCACAGATGCTTAGTGGTCTGTGTTGGCTAATTTCAGCAAGGAGCAAATGCCCATTGATACCTAACATTTATTGATATCTAATATTTATCAATATCTAATGGCTGACATCCACAAAGCCATATATACCAATGCCAGTGTTTGCAGGTAGCTCATCACAAGGATAACTGCTCTGCTCATTAATACCTAATGTCAGTCCATAGCTCAACATCTGGCAGCAGCAAATAGCCATCCAGTTAAGTCACATGCCCTGTGTTTATTCATGTATTTATTTAAGTCCCAATGGTTTTATTTATGGGGATTATTGTGTTTGCTGAGCTGGGTGGGAATTCTTTCTGTGTTTACTGTTTAATTCCAAAAGCTATTTATTATTTTCTTTGGCATACCCATTATTCAAAAGATTCTGAATTAGGAACACTAGCACACATTTATGTTTCTTGACCTATACACATATGTATATGTAATTATTAAATACATGATACAGGAAGACAGAGCAAAAGAGACCCTGCTTTGAGGACAGAAGTGTCAAGCCAGGAAAAATTTACTAATTAGTTGATTCTTAGAGGCAGCACCTTTTCCAAAGCTGAGTGAAAATTCAAGGCATCAGCCCTTCTGCTCAGGCAAAGAAGGACAAAAGTCCCTACTTTGGGTTGAAAAAATCTAGGGACTCTAAAAGGTTAGGACAACATAACCAGTGGTTAAGGCACAGCAAAGAGAGGCTGCCTGGGCTCAAGGCCAGCTCTGCTACTTACAGCTAAGTGTCCTGGGGTAAGCCCTCAACTTCTTAGGCCTCAGTTTCCCCATCTGTAAAATGGAGACGGTAGCTACCTTACAGGGATATTGTAGGAAATAAGTCAGTGTACATAAAACACTTAGAATAGCACCTGGCATATAATAAGTGCCATATAATAAATACAGAACACAATGGACCTTTGAACAACTCAAAAGTTAAGGAAGACAACCCTCCAAGCAGTCGAAGATCTGAGTTTAACTTTATCATCAGCCTTCCATATCTACGGTGTCATCTGTAGATTCAAGCAACTATGGGTCATAAAGTATGCATTTAGTGAAAGAAATTCGCATATAAGTGGACCGGTGCAGTTCAAACACATGTTGTTCAAGAGCCAACTGTACTTTTTAAACATTTTTTGGAAAAATCTTTTGTCAAACTTTAAAGCATGCTGTGACTCAAAGCATTCTCAGGCAGGGTTCTTTTGGAGGCCATCAGCTCTCAGCAGGTGATCTCACAGAAGCTGTGGTCCTTAGGACTGTGTCTGAAATAAGGTTCTACCCTCTGCACCAACACATTTTGAAACTGCCTCACCATACAGCTTCCTCCTAACACTCGGTGTTGAGGAAATATCCCCATGACCGTTCTCCCCAGGCCTGGCAGTCACAGGTGGAATGGCCCACCTGTTGGGATTTGAGACTCAGTGACAACTCGCCCCTCTTCTCCCTCTCCCAGACAGCCTCACTCTTGTTGTCTGATGTCTTTGCTAGACAGACAGGGGCCCAAAAGTGACACACCCTAAAAAGTGATTTTTAAGGTGATGTGTCAATAGGACAGTTGCTAAGATTATGATTCTAGAGGCAGGATTATGAGACCCAGAAAGAAGGGAGTTGAAAGATAAGGTCTTTTACATCTGCTGCCTTCTCTGTCAACCAGTGTGATATTTTGTCATACTGGTGACCCCCCAGTGAGTCACACCTGGTATTATCACCCTGCGTAGAACCACCCTCTTGAATCTGGGCTGGGCCTGTGATTTGCTTTAATCAATAGAATGCAGCAGAAGTGGCTCTGGATCAGCCCCAGACCTAAGTCTTAAGCAAGTCTGGCAGGTTTCCCTTTTGCAATCTTGGGAGTCCGGAGCTGCCCCATACAGAGTCTGGTAAGACCACGTGGAGAAGCCCGAAGGCCATATGGAGAAAGAAAGGCTCAGCCATTCAGTATCCCAGCAGATCTCAGAGCCTGGCCAGCCCTTCACCTACAGAAGTGACTGCAACAAAAGCAGCAGAAGAACCAACCAGCGGACCCCAGCCCTGATCGCAGAATCATACGCTTAAACCAAACGACGCCTGTGCTAAGCCATTATACTTTGGAGGGCTTCCTACACGGCGGCAGACAACCAAAACAGCCAAGCCACAGGCTCTGTGCCCGTGCCCTCCCCATTTCTGTTGCCTCTCCTCCACCCCCTCTGGCTTTCCTGGTAAAAGAACTGCTAACCTAGCCATGGGACCTGAGCAGCTGAAGATGCAAAGATGCCAAATGACAAAGTCAGACAGCCAGACCTTCCTCAAGAGTGGCCAGTCTGAAGGGACAGGGCAGAGAGGCACAGTTAAGAGGAGACACACGCGCCCGGTATTTTAAAGTTTATGAGACACCACCCTGCACACGAACTCTTCTTTTGTTATATTTTTGTCTCACAGCCACCCAGCAGGCTCAGCCTGTCTCCTCTCAGCCCAGACAAATGACTTGCAGGTCCCCAGGCAGACCCATCTGTCACACTGGGACTCCCCTTGTCTCTGCACAACCCCAGATGGAAACTGGGAGAATAAATACCTAGACCCACTGTCCTGCTAAGGGGCCTTCTTGCTTAGAGCTTTCCCTCCAGACCCAAGGACGTACATGCAGGGAACTGAGGCTGGGCTGAGGCCAGGCACTGGGTGGGGGCAGGTGAGAAGAGCCAGAGGAGAGCAGGCAAGAGGGAAGCTGGTCTGGAGCACAGGGGACCCTGGGAAAGGCACAGCTTTTTAATGCTTCCCGCAGACTGTGGACAAAGTCATACTTAGCACAAACTTTAAAAATACTCTCCCTACACACAGACACAAACACTGTAATTCCCCTGACTTACCCCACCCGCCAGTAAAATCCGTCATCTGTGCAGACACATAGGCGGTGGGGACCAGGATGGGTGCTTGGAGGGAGTATGTCCCAGGTTCTGAGCAAAGCTCTCAGGAGTGACTACACAGAAATTCCCTCTGCTAACATGTTCTAAAGGAAGGTGACACACGAAGCAGTAGGGGAAGGGGCAATGAATGCTCCCCTGTTCTCACACCCACCAGCCTGATTCTTACCTTCCTGTCTCTGCGTCCCTGCCACCATTTCTGGGAAGCCCCCCTGACCACCTCCCCACATCCTACTCCAGGCAAGTTTAGATGATCCTCCTCTGTGCTAACTCAGCACATCTTCCCTCCAGAGTGACACTCATCACATTTATTTTCTGTTTATTTTTCTAGTTTCCACTTTACACTGAAGGCAAGAACTGTACCTGCCTTTGCTCCCCAAAGGGTCCCCAGCACTCAGACTGGTGCCTGGCACATAGCTGTTGTCAATACACACCCGATAAATGAATAAATGGGTTGGTTACATCCATCTTCCTGATGGTTAAATGGAGGCCCAGAGAGGTTAAGGGACATTCCCAAGGCTACACAGCAAGCTCATGGCAGAAACCAGCTGTTTTTTTTTTTTTTACTTGAAGTATAGTCAGTGTCAATTTCTGGTGTACAGCATATGTTTCAGTCATACATACCTATACATATATTCATTTTCATATTCTTAGAAACCGGATCTTGAGAGTTCCTCTGCAGTAGAAAATTCCCTGCCCTGCCCCTCCCCTCTCCCTCAGGTGGCAGGTGTGTGCACCGACAGGCCTGAAGCGGGGATGCGGTGGGAGTCCCCTGTGAAGGTTCTGCCTTCTCCTCTCCAGCTCCTTGACAGGGACTCACCTCTGCTCTGACTTCCGCCCGGTGACTAAGTCTGTGCCCCACCTCACCCATCCCAACAGCAGCCCCACTGGCTATGGAAGGGTAAGTCCCACTTCTCTGAGCCTGCTTCCTCAGCCTTAAGATGAGTCAGCCTGGGAGATCAGGAGGCTCCTTCTAACTGAGAGTCTAGGAAACCCTGATGAAAAAGACCAGAGAAGACTACCTCGCCAGCTGCATGCTGCCTGCTGTGCGGCATGAAGCACAAACGTTCACCAAGCACCAGAAAGGCCCAGAAATCTTAGGGGGCTTTTTGTACGTAACAGAATCTTCCTTCAATAATACGTAAGTTTCTTACTTGCACTATTATGTGTGGTGTGTGTGCGTGTGTGTGAGCCCACGTGATGGTCTTTTTCAGGTTTTAAAAACAAATCCAGATGATTCTACTGCATAATCAGGTTGGGGCAACACTAAAGTTTACACAGATCTTACATCTCACATCCATACCTCACATACTCTTCATGACCTTCAGAGCAGGCAGGGCTGATCACAAACGCATTTCACAGGTGGGGAAAATGATGCCCAGACAGTGGGTGGCAGAACCTAGGACTTGACTCAGAAGCCCTATTCCAAACTCTCCTCTGAGTTCAAAAAAAATAAAATAAAATAAAATAAAATAAAGAAAAAGAGAAGAATGGATACAATTACTTGGCTGGTAGACCCGTTCAAAGAGCTTGCTTAACCCTGGCAGGGAGCTAAATCATTTGGTGGGAAGCCCATTCTCTAGGAGATGGGGGTGAGAGATGACAAGAATAATAAAACTCTGGGACAGAGTCAACAGGATGCTGAAGGCGTGACTCAAAGGATTAGAGCAGCCCAGGGGATGAACCTCAGGCCTCAGTGCTCCGGCTCCGCCCACACACACACTTTTAAGACCTGTGTTTGTCCCAAAAGACACCACAGTCCTGACCACAGGGCACGCAGACGTGGACCAAACCCAACCCTGGCCGCGGCGGCGCCCCGTCGGCTGCATTACAAGGAGGCAAGTGACTACATAGGCGGAGCTGAAGCTTGAGTTCCCATTCGACAGAGGGGCAATCTGGGGCACCTCACAAGAGCTGAGCTGCGGGTCGATCTCCAGCGGAATCCAGGTCTCTGACCCTCCCGTAGCTCTGTCTCCACCAGAGGGCGCTGTCCGGGACACTCCCCTTTCCTTTCTCCGCGCATTTGCCGCTTTTCTTCTCGGTCTGTTCCGGGAGTGGATGCTCTAGCCCCAGGCTTGGGCGGGGGCGGGGCGGGGACAGGGGTGGGGTGGGGGGAACAGTCCCTCAAGGAGAGAGCAAAGGGCAAACTCGGAGAAGCAGAAGTCTGAATGAGCAGTGATTTTCAGCAGTCACCAAAGGCTCCATTGCCTTTACATCTCCCCCGCTGATGAAATACCTGCCACTCTTTGGGTTTTACAGACTTTTAAAACTAACGTTTACTCTGGTGGGATTTTTTTTTCAAGAATAGTCAGTGCTTATATATTGACTTATTTTATTCTCAGTATACAAAAAGATGTTTGACAGCTGAGAAAACTAAGGCTCAAAGAGGTTAAATAATTTGCTCAAGGTCACACAGCAGGTAAGTGACAGATTCTAGATTTTAAAAGGAAGTCTGATTCTGGAGCCCAGAAGTAAACTAAGTGCGTATGTAAACGTAGAATGCTAACCTTACAGAATCAGAAACAGAGAATCCTAAAGTGTCAGCTTCCTTGGCTCTTTCCTTACAGAAGCCAAGATGGGTCTGAGGGGGACTTTGGAAGGGATCCTGGGTGCTGCAGACCAGTGGTACAGCTGCTTTGTTCTGGGCTCCAGCCCAATCCACCAGTGATGTCTGGGCAGGGTCACTCAGGAGCAGCTTCTAGTTAATGTCACTTGCTTGTTCTTCCGTCCAAGGGCAGTTACTTGGGCTGGAGCACCTCAGAGAAGGGCCTGTGGGCCTATATTTGCATTCTTCTCCTTCTTGGATCACCTGCTCCAGGCCGCCTAGTCAACTGGGCATGCGTTTGAACCTCGGTGCTCTGACCATCCTGTCCAGGCCTCCTCCCTGCCCTTCACGGGGCCCTGCTCAGCACAGGGTAAACCCAAGAACATCAGGTGGATGTTCCTGGTGGATGAGGGCACGGCAGAGTTCCCGACCAAGTCTGTGGCCTTTTAATGGGGACCTCAGAGATTTTACTAAAAATATTGGATGATGTAGGGACACCCAGGCACAAAGGTAGGTCAGCAGAAAAAATATTTTGCCTTTCAAATCAGGGTGGCGAGGAAATTTGGGAGCATGTTGCATCCCAGCCACTCCTGCTGTTAGGCAGTTAAATAAGTCGGGGCACCGGGGCAGATAGGTGGAGGAGAAGGAGGATGGTCCGGAAGATGGTGTTATGCCCACCCCATAAAGGGACTTTACTTCTAAATGAGTGCAAAAAAAAAAAATGGTTAAAACCTGACAGCCACAGCCGTGCGGTAGCAGAAAGGACCTAACCAGACACAACCAATATTCATTATATTATAATTAACATTGCGGTTTAGTTCCCCGCTCATGGGTTTTTCTGTATACACCGTGAGCAAGGGGCCAAACATGACTAAGCATTCCAGGGACAAGAGCCCTCAATAATCAAAAGACCACCTCTAAGTGAGGGAATAAGAGAAAGGGGAGACAAAACCCACTGCTTTTTTCCTCCCTTGGATTAGCCTGCCCCCCATTCTTGGGGGTCTACTTTTCCTTTCTTTTTAAATAAATCTTTTAAAATCCCTACACAACTCACCTTCTCCTGACTGCAAACTTGTCTTTCAGGTATGACAAGAACTGGGGTCTTTACCTTTGGGGGAAGCACTGCTACCTTCTAGTTGCACCACCCCAGCAGAAGCATGTACCCTCTGAGCGCCAGTTCCCTCATGGGAAAGTGGGGACATTAACATGATTTACAACACATTAATGCCACACTCAGAGCCCCCATCATGTGGCCTGGCACACGGAGGGGCTCAGGTAGTGTCAGCTCCTCTCTCCACACCCCAGGGCTGAGGTTCAGGGTAAATCTCCCAGGACAGGGCCCCATGTGGGTTTTGACTGGTGCCAGGCTAGGAACTTAAATCCTGTGCTTCTCTCCCATTAGTCTAATCTGGATCTGAGTGAGAACTGGGTCATTATCTCATTGACCACTTGGCCAGGGGTGCTGATAAAACAAATTAATGTAAAGTTTAGGCAGAAATTATGAAGGAAAAGGGACTAAGAGTAAGAATAAAATGAGTAATGCCTATCTGCCACCTGAACAGCATGTAATGTTTCAAAGCAATCGTGTGTCCATGATATGTTTTGACCTTGACAAAAGCCTGTGAGGAGCTAGGATGGCATTGTTAGCTCCCTTTACAGACAACAAAACCAAGGGTCAGAGAGGAGGTATGTGGTTTGTCCAGGGCCATATATCCAGTGACAGGAGAGTAAATGGTCCTGTTCCCCCAGCCTTGTGAGAATGACAAAATGGAAAGACAGAGGGAAGAAGGAAATGGCATGGGAGCACAAAATCCCCTATGTCTACCCCACAAATTGCCCTTAGTAACCAAAGAAATACAAATTCGGACACTGTGGCAATCCCACGTGCATGGTTTTTGAAACCGAGCAGGACCCTGTGGGGACTTCCTGGGACAGACCCCTCCCCAGATATTCTGCTGTAGCTCCTCGCTGAAGTACTCAGATAATAGTATCTCATGCATATGTCCTGAGTTTTTCAGATGCTAGAAACCACCACCAAATGGAAGAAATTAACTAGTTGGTGATTAAGAGCACGCAGCCCCCAGAACCTCTGGCGCCTAAAGATGGATCACCATCAATC